CCGCGCCGACCGCCCGTTCTGTCTCTCCCTCCCTTAAAGAGGCGTCTGAAGTTTCAAGCCGCCGCCGCTTCACGCCGCGGTCTCGATTAGCCCCATCGCTTCCTGCCCGCTGCCGCCATGACAGCAGCGTTCAACACACCCCCCCACACCACCCCCCCCCGCTCCGGAGCGCCGCCGGGGCCGGGAGCCGTGCGCCTGCGCGGGACGGGGCGGGGCGGGGCGGGACGGGCCGCCGCCGTGAGGCGAAGGGAGCTGCCCGGCCGCGCAGGCCCAGGTGCGCTCAGGTGCGCCCAGGTGAGGTGAGGGGGCGGGGGCCGCGGCGGGGCGATGGCGGTCCCTCCTCTTCCTCTTCCTCCTCCTCCTCCTCCTCCTCCTTTTCCTCCTCCTCTTCTTCTTCTTCCTCTCCTCACGCTTCGACCTTTCAGCTCCCCCCCCACACCGCAGGAGGGTGGGGGGGTAACTCACCTGTGGGGAGCCGGCCGGCCCTGAGGCGGCAGGCAGCGCCTCCCCCCAAACCTTCCTTGTGCTGTTAACTGTTTGTAAGCCTGCCCTTCCCGATGCGATGTTTTAAAATTATATTTTATCGAGGGGTGGGGTTTTTTTTTGGATTGCCACGTCCCAGGTGCAGGACCCTGCACTTGGCTTGGTTGAACCTCATGCAATTTGCACGAGCCCACCTCTCCAGCCTGTCCAGGTCCCTTTGGATGGCATCCCTTCCCTCCAGCGTGTCAACTGCGCCACCGAGCTTGGTGTCATCTGCAAACTTGCTGAGGGTGCACTCTATCCCACTGTCCATGTCTCCAACAAAGATGTTAAATAGTACTGGTCCCAGTACCGACCCCTGCGGAACAATTTTCATTTTTAAAGAATGAAACAACCCCTAGAAGCCCCAAACCTGAGGGAACCACAGGCGGGGGGGGGCACCACCGGGAGAGTGGGGGTTCTTACCAAGGGGTGTTAGGCTGCCTGAACTGCCTGGCCCTCAGAAGGACGAGCTGAGATGGTTGGGCAAGGTGGAGCAGGCTTGTGGCTACCTGTGGCCCAGCCCTGAGGTGCCCCTCCTGCCTCCTCAAATTCTCCCTCCCTCCCTTCCACCCCTACCAGGACCCGCCGTGGACTGGTAGCACCCCTCAGATCGTCAACCCCTAGAAGCCCCAAACCTGAGGGAACTGCAAGCTGGGGGGGCACCACCGGGAGTCATTTGGAAACCTTGCATATGGAAAGAATGCTTCCTCCTGAGGTGACTGAGCACCAAATGTGTATGTTACCTCAGTGGCAAGGGGACCTTTCAGGTCATCGAGTCCAACCATCAACCTAAGGCTGATGAAATCACCACTAAACCACGGCGCTGAGAGCACCACCTCTACTCATCTTCTAAATCCCTCCAGGGATGGGGATTCCACCACTTCCCCACAGCCCATTCCAATGCTTGCCTCCCTTCCACCCCTACCAGGACCCGCCGTGGACTGGTAGCACCCCTCAGATCGTGGCCACTGGGTGCAGTGACCATGCTTGCCGTGCCATGCCAATGTTTGCATTTGGAAACCTTGCATATGGAAAGAATGCTTCCTCCTGAGGTGACTGAGCACCAAATGTGTATGTTACCTCAGTGGCAAGGGGACCTTTCAGGTCATCGAGTCCAACCATCAACCTAAGGCTGATGAAATCACCACTAAACCACGGCGCTGAGAGCACCACCTCTACTCATCTTCTAAATCCCTCCAGGGATGGGGATTCCACCACTTCCCCACAGCCCATTCCAATGCTTGACCACCCTTTTGGTGAAGAAATTTTTCCTAATATCCAATCTGAACCTCCCCTGGTGCAACCTGAGGCCATTTCCTCTTGTCCCATGGCTTGTTACTTGGGAGAAGAGACCAATCCCTGCTTTTCTACACCCTCCCTTCAGGTAGTTGTGGAGAGCAGTAAGGTCTCCCCTCAGTCTCCTTTCCTCCAGGCTGAACAGCCTTTTGTTTGACCTTTTAAATGAACCTATTTGTCTGACAGTAGTCTGAATATCTGGTGGTCTAGTCTGGTAATAAAGAATGAAGAGGGTCTGCTCCTCCAAACTCATCATTCAAGGAGTCTTCAACTGTGCACTCTTAACGAGACAGAGTGTGTTAATAAGGATTGTACATCCTTCTAGGGACTGCAGGATCTTGTACCTGCTGTTTAACAGTGTGAGTTTTATTGATAAATTATTGCAGCAACATGATGGCATCAAAGGTTTCCAAAGAAGGATAATTTCAGGAGCGTAGGAGTGACTTGCAGATAGATATAGGAAAAGATAGATATAGGAAAAAATATATATATACATTTTAATGCTTCACAAATATGCTTAACATCCTCAGTGATACAAAAAAGCTGTCACTTATTTAATTCTACGGAGGGAAAGGGAATGAATCTTGAAATTGGTAAAAGTTTCTGTGGTTTGAAATCTGACCCTAGTGAAACTCCAAAGAGGCCAACAGGTGTTTTGTCTGAGAAATAAAAATCGCACCTTATTCTTGATACTGCGCCGTGTTTGGGACAAAATTGTTTGGATGTGTGCCTCTCCTGACTGGGTTTACACCCAAAAAAATGGTACAGCCAAAATCAAACCGCAGTTCTTCTGGAAAACAGCTTTCCGAAGTGATGCGCGATGTTCCTGATAAGCATGCCAAAGAAGGCTGTAATTATTAAATATTATTCTAACTGGTTATGTTATTATTAAATAATATTTTAACTTGTATTTTAAGTTAAACTAATATTTTGACGCTGGCCTGATTTGGGAATGCCGTCCTTTGTGCGTGTTGGTGTGGTACTTCCAAAAAGAAGAGATACTCTGGAACATGCTCCATTATAATGCTTGTTATGTTCTCTTCCTACATAAAGTTCTTATGTTGTTACATGTGTCTGTAGAATGTATGACAAGGCTAGAATATTTCATAGCTGCCTTCCTGGCTGAATTTTTAAGTCCTATGAAGGGAGTGAGTTCCTTTTTTTTCTTCCTTTCTTTCCGAATCTCCCTTAGTTACATACATACGTTATTTTTTGAGTAGCAAACGTTTGCAGTTTCTTCCTCAGAATTGGGAATGTTTGGAAATGTGATGCTGGCACGTCCAGTCCCTGTGAAGCTAGAGTGAGCTTGTATACGTGCTGTGTTAATCTTGGTGTTTTCATCTCAGAGTTTCGTGATGGCGGCGTTTCTTAGTCACGTTTTCAATTTCTCACATCTATGGCTTGAGCTTCCCCGTCTCTCTGTGAGTCACCTGTAGTTTCCTCAAGTATTGTCTTCCCTTCTGTAAGGAAGATCTAATTTTAATTGGAGCCTTTGAAGTGGCTAAGTGTGCATTTTTTTTTTGCACATCAGTTTTACCTGCCTGCTTTTAAGCATTCCCTGCTTCCTGAACACTTCAAATGGCCTTTGTCTTGGCCTTTATCTTTACACTCTTCACGGGGCTCTCCACCACCAGGCAAAAACACAAAAGAAATATATTTGGAACTTTTTCTGCACCTGGTGACTTGGAGTATGGGTGCTATTTGGGGCCTCTCCTGTTACCCGTTATCCATCTTTTTCTGCTTTCTTCTTCGTTTTAACACCACGTTAGAAACTAAATAAATAAAAGCAAATGAATTGCTAACAAATCCAGTTTAATGGGTTTCAGATGTTTTCACCCAAACTGCATACTCCAACAGCCAGCAAACCCAGTCTGCCAGTGAAGACAGCACTGTCACATTGGATCCTGTCAGATCTTCCCATATTTTCTTACAGATAAATACTTCTTGACTGCTTTTGATTGTTGAAGGCAGTAGGGTATGTGCAGTAGGTGATGTTCTGCCAGCGTAGGGTTCAGAAGACAGTTGTTTTAATTTGATTTTTCAGCCAGGTAAACCCAAAGTTAAATTCTCCAGGTGATCTGTTCTCCATTTGGGCTGGGTTTACGTCCAAGGAACCATGCTAGCCACCAAACAAAATACCACCCGAGGTTTGAAGAAATAGACAATAAATACAATAAAAATGACAGAAAGTTTTCTCTAAGTTTTACAATCCAAAAAGCATGGATTAAAAATTAACTTAAACCCCAGATTGGGAACAAACTCCATAAGGTTTTGTGGATAGTAAACTCTCTGAACTCGATTTTAAGAAAAAAAAAAAATATACTTTCTGTTTAAATCACCTTTTAAAGTATTGCCACGCGTGCTGGTTTAGAAGCTGTAGTCAAATCTTCTGAACCCTCTATTCAGTGCTGATCCGACCTCATCTGGGATGGTGTGTCCCTGTTCTCTTGCACTTGCTCCCCAGGTCCTGAGACAGCCCAGGAAGATGGAGAAGGGACTCAAACATCTGGTGCAGGAGGAGAGGCTGATGTTCCACCAGGGGAGAGAAGACTTGGAGGTCTCTTTTCAACGTGCACCACTATCTAGTGGGGGGAGTGAAGAACAGCCACTAAGGAGCAGACCCACCACCAGCTGCGTTGCATCTGTTGCAAGGAGAGGAATTTTTGGCAGCTGGAGCCATGAACCTTTTTAATTGCTCAGGGATCAGGTCTTTTACCAAAAAAAACCCCTCCCATTTATTTCATCTAGGCTAAGGCAGCGTCCCTAATAACTCATAACTTCCTTCTGTTTACACAGCCCAACTACAGTGTTGTGTTCACTTTCGTTGGAGCTGGGGAGGAGGCTCATGACATCCAGCAGTGTCAGAAAAAAATTTCAAATTAAGTACATTTGCTCATGACATCCAGCAGTGTCAGAAAAAAAAATTTGAATTAAGTACATTGTGGCAATAAAAAACTCTGCCTTTAAGCAAAATGAGGGAAAAGAAGTAATACGTAATTTTATAACTTTTTATGGCAAAATGCTCCTCTGATCTTCAGCATTGGACAAGAAGAAATGGCCTCAAGTTGCACCAGGGGAGGTTTAGATGGGATATTAGGAAGAACTTCTTCATCAAAAGGGTGGTCAAGCATCGGAACAGGCTGCCCAGGGAAGTGGTTGAGTCACCACCCCTGGAGGTATCTAAAAGATGTGTGGATGTGGCACTTGAGGACCTGTGTCCACTTTAGGGACAGGATTTAGTGGTGGACTCTATGATCTTAAAGGTCTTTTCCAACCTACGTGATTCTGAGATTCTGTGATTAAGAGCTGCTTTAAAAATCCTTGACTGGAAATTAAAATCCAAATAAAAAAGCTGCTTATAAATACCGTTGACCTTAAATATGAGAGGTCCTCTCTGTTTCTACAGAGAACATAATACATCAAGAGGGCAATGTAATCCCCAAATAAAGATTATGAAAAAAATGAATTTTACTCACTTTTGTTTAGAAGTGTAATCAGTGTATCTCTTCCTTTGTCTGCATTGTATCCTCATGATTACTGGTATCAGTGTGTTTAAAAGCAGCGAATCAATAAATGAATGCTTAATGAGTCTCAGCGAGGTGGCATCAGAAAAATGCATTTCCATCCTCTAAGGAAATTATGCTGGTACTGAGCTGGAGAAGCTGCTCCTGCTCATTTCTTCAGTTCCTTTAGCTTAGAAAGGATCTTCAAAATGTCACCTCAATTCCTTACCCTACCCAAGCCACGTCAGGAAATATTTCTCCATTTCTCACAGTCCATTTCTCACGGGCTGTTCAAACTGTCCCGCCCGACCTGGTTTTGCTATTTCAAAGGCAAGAATTGAATGCAGAGAGTCCAAAAGAAGCAAAAGACTTAGAAATAGCTCCGCATTAGAGTTTCGAGAGGGATTATGAGAGGTTTTCTGCGTAAAACTCTGGTATGATCTCAGAGGATGTTTTGAAATCCCCAACAAATTGCTTCTCACAGCGGCTGGATTAAGGTCTGTGGAATAAATGCAGCTTCCGTGCTACATCACGGAAAGGAATGAGTAACAAAACCTTTTATTATTCTAATTATTATTGTTGGTTTTATTATTATTAGTGAAACAGCTCACTGTTGGCATATATTGTGATTGTCTTTCAGCTCTCTTGTACACTTACAACTACAAAGATTAGAGACGCTCCTGTCATGAGCACATAACCCATGCAATCTCCCTCTGGCTTTCAGTCCTTCTCTGGATCACAACGCCAAAGTTAAAACAGTTGGAAGAGAACAGACAAGCCTGAGGATTTTGGTGAAGTCACTGTTTCCCAGAGACTGTGCAGCAACTGGTGGCTACACAAAAAGAACAGAAAGTGGGAGCGTGGGTGTTTTTTGGGGGGGGATGTGGGTGTGCATCTCTGAGAATTCATGCTGTATTTGTTTTTTTCTTCTTTTTAAATAGCTTTTCTACATTTTGGATGCTGTATTAATTTTGGCTCACCTGAAACTTTATATTATAGCTACTAACCAATTAACTTTTATTTTAGCATCACAATTTTTTTTTTATTATCTTGTTTTCTTTTCGGTATTGCTCCTCCTGAAGAGACACTTGTGTAGGGTTTGGAGGAAGGAGGTTCTGTTGGAGGGAGACAATTTCCTAGGGCTCTGTGTAGGAGGACGAGCAGGGCAAGGAAGAGGAGGTGATCTTCATGTTTTGGAAGGAAGGAGAGGGACAGTACCAAAATAGTGAGGTGAATCCAACAGAGAACAGAAGGGCAGAAAGTGAAAGGAATGGGGACTGAGAGACTGGTTTAAGAGAAAGAGGGATGGATGGCCAGGAGGTGTACAGGGAGACAATCCACACAGCCCAGTAAAGAATCCAGGGAATCAGTATTCCAGGAATGGAAAACAGAAAGAAAAGATTTAGAAGATGGCAGCTTTTACCAGGCTCTTCCAAAGTGCAGCGTCTTTCGTCAGAATATTATAATAGCCACCTCACCTGAAACTTTATATTATAGCTACTAACTAATTAACTTAGCCACGTACCAAGGAACATTCTTTGATGTATTTACTTACTTTAAGAAATCCCAATAAACTAAGGTGATGAAGGATTGTCTGACTAGAAGAGCTGTGGTATTGTGCACATCAAGGCACTCAAACGGACTACTTTGCAAGGCAGGCAGGTGCTGGGAGACAGTAGCTTACCCTAAAGCAGCAGGCACTCTGCAACTTAATATTTCCTGAAGATACAAATCTTTTGCATAATCCTTTCTGTATTATCCCCTACATCCTGGGAATTTACTACCCCTCCGTTTGAACCCCTGAAAGCAGGGATCCACCACTGTTTCGATTACTCTGGTTAGCACCAACTGAATCAAGAAGAAAAATCATTATTTCCACTCAAAATGGCTGTGAGTGTCTAGCTAATTCCGGGGAAAATAGGAGCTTCAGAGAAAATCTGGCATCTATTAATCTATTGGAAATGCCTATATGGCACACAAAGCCAGGCATGCCTATTACCTAGATGAATACTCTGTGTGAAATTTATTATCTTCCTGTTAATAAGAGGTAAATTGGGGGAGAAGTGGCTTGAGTTGTGTAGTGACTTAAATATCACGTCAAATTATCACCCAAAGCTGTTGATTATAATGTTACTAGGCCACTGTATCTCTGCAGCCACCAGCCACCTACTCACCAACCTCAGAGAGAAGATGGTCTGGTTCTGGTAATGAGGATTAGCCACAGCGAAGGAAACGATTGATTTGCATACGTCCAGATAAATGAAATTAAACTTGTGATATGCTATTCTATTTATTGAAAAAATCAGCAGTATGCTAGCCCTTGGAAAGCTGGCAAAAACGCTGAGCCAGGCTTTGGTAATGCTTGAATATCTCCAATTGTCTTTCATCACTGCTGCCTGCTGCAGAGTTTCACATATGCACTTCAGGATTGTTTCACTGCCCTGCAATTACAGTCCTGATAAATGCAAAAAAACCCCAAAAAGTCCCAAAGGTGCAGAGCTTTTTCAAAACTCAGTCCGGTGCTTCTCGTAAATCCTAAACTCACATAGAAATCTTCAAGAGAAAGCATTCCTGGGAGACTGGTTTTCAAATTCATGTCAGGAAGGCTAAAGAGATGTTCAATAGGATTGTTTTTAATTAAGGGTCTGCATCTGATGAAGGAACTGTACACTTCAGATCAGTGAAAAATGCCAAAAGGAGGCAGAAAAAAGAATAGGAGGTTAGCACTGCACATCTTATTTTCTTTATTTCTAGCCCATTTAGGAATGGTCATTTTTCATAAGGGAGAAGAAGAGAGATGGGAGAATCACAGAATCCCATGGGGTTGGAAGGGACCTCTGGAGATCATCCAGTCCAACCCCCTGCCAGAGCAGGGCCACCCAGAGCAGGTCCCACAGGAACTTGTCAAGGCTGGTTTTGAATGTCTCCAGAGAAGGAGACTCCACCACCTCCCTGGGCAGCCTCTGCCAGGGCTCTGCCACCCTCACGGCAAAGAAGTTCCTCCTCATCTTTAGGTGGAACTTCTTATAGTCAAGTTGGTGCCCATTTCCTCTTGTCCTGTCCCTGGGCACCACTGAAAAAAGACCGGCCCCATCCTCCTGACACCCTCCCTTGAAGTATTTATAAGCCTTGATCAGATCCCCCCTCAGCCTTCTCTTCTCCAGACTCAAAAGACCCAAGTCCCTCAGCCTCTCCTCGTAAGGGAGATGCTCCAGGCCCCTCATCATCTTTGTAGCCCTAGGATGTTGCAGAAATAATTGCACAGTTGCAATTATCTAACAGCTGAGTAGAGACTGGAAATCTTTGTAGGCAGAAATTGTGGCACAAGGCAGTGGTGGCACACAGTCCATGGCTGAGCAGCTTGTTGGCCAGCAAAGAGCCAAGAGCTGCTGCTGCCGTGGTGGCTTTGACCAGCAACTTCAGCTCCTGCCCTTTCTCCTCCCCAGCCCTGGCCAGGGTCCCCTGAGGCTACCAGAGCTCTTGGTGTAGATCCATAGGGAATCCTGCTTCGGTTCATGTGGTAGGGCTGGTCCACTTCCAGATGCCTCGTGTGTCTGAGGGAAGAGCAACACTCTGGGCTCTTCCACATTCTACACTTCAATAATCCAGAGGTAAAATCGTTATGCCCAAGGTGGATTTTTTTTTTTCCAAGTATAGCTAATGTTGCACTATAATAATATTTTTATTATTCTTAATTAAGAGTCTTGCTTTCTTTAAATTCTAATTTTTTAATTACTCTGTCAAATTCACCACTAATGAGTTCCCTTTCTCCAAAAAAAAAAAAAAAAAAAGGTACCTTTCTTCTTCATGTTTCCATTTCTTTGTTATGTTCTTATGAGCTTGCAAATCTGTAAGCACTTTTCTCCATTTGCAGGCCAAAGCAGGGAGGTCAGGACGTTTATAAGGACCTGGAATTCCAAAAAAAAATTCATTTTGTATTTTAGTTTTGATTATTGCCACTTAAGCATAATGACAACATCCATCCTGTTAAAAGTTTGGTTTCATTGGAAATTGCTTTTTTTTTTTTTTTTCGGTGAACCACTGCTAATCAAAAATGTATGAGCTATGCTTTCATAAGTAAAAAACCAGTAAAATAGTCTCATAAGTGAAATAAAATAAAAAATGGAGAGTGAACAACTTTCTGTTCTAACGTGGCCATCTGTCATTTATAAAGACATCACCCCATTAACCTGTCTAATCAACTCCACTCTTTTTTCAAAGTTGGTTAAGTAAGTTTATGAGGAGCCGTGGATGTTCTCTTGATTAAATCTGTTGTAAAACGGCCTCCCTGGTGTTCTGCTTTGTGTGCATTTACACTTATAAAGGTAATTACAAGTACATATCACTACTGTAAATCCCATGCTTGTCATATTACAGTACATGACATTTTCATTTCCTCCTGCTGAAAATGAAACCTGATCTTTTTCTGTCCAAGCAATAATGACCAATTAGAATTTGTTATTATTAATGTTTGTCCTAAAGTGCTCCAAGTCATGAGGTGGTTTCCTCCCGGGCAGTGGAATTTATAACGTGGAAGAAAGGGGGTTGACACGTCGCTGTACCACCTCCAACCATTCCCTCTCAGGCCTGGTTATTCCTTCAGCAAACTGGGAGATCTCCACGGAAAACCCACAGTGCGGGGAAGAATACGACTCGGTATGAATGTGTCCTTGTGGCCAAGAAGGCCAAGGGCATCCTGGGGGGCATCAGGAAGAGTGGGAGCAGTAGGTGGAGGGAGGTCATCCTGCCCCTCTGCTCTGCCCTGGGGAGGCCCCATCTGGAGCACTGGGACCAGTTCTGGGCTCCCCAGTTCCAGAAGGACAGGGAACTGCTGGAGAGGGGACAGCAGAGGCTACAGAGATGATGAGGGGCCTGGAGCATCTCCCTGACGAGGAGAGGCTGAGGGACCTGCGTTTTGAGTCTGGAGAAGAGAAGGCTGAGGGGGGATCTGATCAAGGCTTAGAAATACTTCAAGGGAGGGTGTCAAGAGGATGGGGCTGGTCTTTTGTCGGTGGTGCCCAGGGACAGGACAAGAGGAAACGGGCACAAACTTGAATGTAAGAAGTTCCACCTGGACATGAGGAGGAACTTCTTTGGGGTGAGGGTGGCAGAGCCCTGGCAGAGGCTGCCCAGGGAGGTGGTAGAGTCTCCTTCTCTGGAGACATTCAAACCCACCTGGGCACCTTCCTGTGGGACCTGCTCTGGGTGGCCCTGCTTTGGCAGGGGGTTGGACTGGATGATCTCCAGAGGTCCCTTCCAAGGAACCCCATGTGATCCTGTGATTCTGTGACACAAAAACCTGCAGCAAAGAAAAAAGACAAGGGAAAGAGGGTAAAAAAAGAGCAAGAAGATGGAGTTATGTCACGACACATCACATGATATAAAGCAGATGACAGCTTTTGGGGTGCTCCATTTGGAAAATGGAAATGGATCTGCTCTGCTCTTCCTGAAATGCCATGGAGGAGGCTGGTAAAGAATCGGTTGGGGAGTATTACAAGTCAGGGAGTGGCCAGAACTCAGGGTATCAGAAATTCAAAGGCAGCCTAGACATACTCAGACAAAAAAAAAACCCAAAACACCCATAATCTTTTCTCAAGCAGAGAGACAGGCGAATGGAGAATTTCTTTCTGAATCTGGCTGGCTGCTTTTTCCTGGTTCGTAAGCACATGTAGCAGTCACAGACATAAAAGTGGCAACTGTTTCATCACCTTTTTCTCTCCTTGAAGAAAACTGACACTTTGAACAAAGTGAACTTATGCTGCCTTTACAGTCTGACAGCAACTGCGTTTAATACCTCGCGGCAGCTAAAATACTAATCCAGTGCTGGCAATTTTAAAAATTGATTGGTTTTGCATGGTTTGAGATCTACTTCACTGGCTCTCGTCTGATAAATCCCTTTTTCTCAAAAGCAGAGGGAGGTACTACTGGGAACTGCTGGAGAGAGTCCAGCGAAGGGCGACACAGATGATGGAGGGATTGGAGCATCTCCCTGATGAGGAAAGGCTGAGAGAGCTGGGGCTCTTCAGCCTGGAGAAGAGAAGGCTGAGGGGAGACCTTAGTAATGGTGACAAGGATCTAAAGGGTGGGTTGAGGGAGGATGGAGTCTTTTCAGTGGTTCCCAGTGACAGGATGAGGGCACAAGCTGGACCATGGGAAGTTCCACTCCAATGTGAGGAAGAACTTCTTTGGGGTGAGGGTGGCAGAGCCCTGGCAGAGGCTGCCCAGGGAGGGTGTGGAGTCCCCTTCTCTGGAGACCTTCAAGCCCCGTCTGGATGCTCCTGAGTGATGTGCTCTGGGCAACCCTGAGATGGACTAGATGATCTCTAGAAGGTCCCTTCCAACTCCAACAATTCCTTGATTCCGTAGCAGAGAGCAGAAGCAGCAAACTAAACCTCTGAACTTGTTGGTGCAGCGAGCAGACGGGCTCTCAGGGAGGACAAGAGAGAGCTGCTCAGGCTTCCAGGAAGCCTCCTGTGAAAGGAGGGGGACAGTCCCCATCCTGAAGGGCAGGGAAATGGGTGTGCGCGGCCAGACTGGCCCCACAGGAAACTCCAGAGTGAGTTCAAATGTGAAAAGGAAGCGTGTGGGGCTGGAAGCGGCAGATACACAGGGAGGGAGTCGAGCATTACGTGCTGCTACGTGTTTCCTGGGGAGGCTGTGGAGCCCCCAGCCTTGAAGATTTGAAAAAAAAAATAAATAAAAAAAAATTGAATATCTCCAACCCTGAGATACCTGACTCGACTTTGAAACCAGACCTCCTCCGGGCAGGGAGCAGAAATTTTTACTATCTGAGTTTTTACTGTCTCTACAGAAAAGTGACTCGCAATTTTAACTTAGATGATACATGAATCGAACCTAATTTAAACTTAATCTTTACCGTTTCATTTCTGTCAGTCTTTCTTTTCAAACTGTGCAAAATTTATGTAAACCCACTACGTGGGCTTCTTTCTTGGAGGGGATGTCACTTTTCAAAGCAGAATCTGCATTGTCACAAGGATTTTAAGGAAGGAATCAGTTGACAGGCTGACTTAGTGTAGGCTAAAATTGTTTTTCTCAAGAAATAAAACTGTTTTTCTACCTCTTAGGTTTTTCTTTCTATGCGTATAGGTGTTCATAAGAGTATAATTGGATATTTTGAAATGAGAGGTACTTTAGGACTTTCTTAAAAATTGGCTTGAACTTAGGTAGTTATATTTTTCTTTCTATGCGTATAGGTGTTCATAAAAGTATAATTGAATATTTTGAAATGAGAGGTACTTTAGGACATTCTTAAAAATTGGCTTGAACATTGGTAGTTATCTCAAGAAATAAAACTGTTTTTCTACCTCTTAGGTTTTTCTTTCTATGCGTATAGGTGTTCATAAGAGTATAATTGGATATTTTGAAATGAGAGGTACTTTAGGACTTTCTTAAAAATTGGCTTGAACTTAGGTAGTTATAAAAAAAAAAAAAGAGATTTACAAATATTTTCTGATACCTAGTCACATCTGAGAGAAAAAACAAACCCTGTGTGTTGGCATAAAGAGAAATACAGGATGGGAGGGCTGCAGGGATCTTCTACAACATCGACAGCGCTCTTTATTCAACAAGTTATATTAATGGGTCTAAAAATATTTCTAGCGCGGAAGTGAACGAGGTGACTCCTCGATGGCACTTCCTGTCAAATATTTCTTTTCCTTTCTTTGCCAGGATTTGGCCATTATTACAGACCTGAGCCCAGGGTTGAGAAGTCTTTCAGCACAAGCCTATGCTTATTGAAATGCAGTCAGGTATCTTAAGTTAGAATATCATCTTTAGCTGAAATAGACCCCAAAATTCTACAACATCGACAGCGCTCTTTATTCAACAAGTTATATTAATGGGTCTAAAAATATTTCTAGCGCGGAAGTGAACGAGGTGACTCCTCGATGGCACTTCCTGTCAAATATTTCTTTTCATTTCTTTGCCAGGATTTGGCCATTATTACAGACCTGAGCCCAGGGTTGAGAAGTCTTTCAGCACAAGCCCATGCTTATTGAAATGCACTCAGATATCTTTAGTTAGAACATCATCTTTAGCTGAAATAGAAGGGCTAGACGCAGAAATAAAGGTTTTCATGTTCTAGTAGCACAACTGGACTGGTTTTGATGACAATGCCATGAATGGTTTTTCCTCCCCTCTTCCCTTTTTGAGTATACTTCCAGTAGAATGGCAAGGGTATTTCTCCATTTCAACTTAACTTTGTGTCTTAAAAGGATACAAAACTAAAAGAGATTATAATTCAGTTGTATCTTAAAAGGATACAAAACTAAAAGAGATTATCATTCAGTTATCATTCAGTTGTACATAATCTCACTGTTTGAATTTATAAATATTGCAAACTGGAGTCTTGCTTAAAGAAAGGAGTAAAAATGGAATAAGGGGCTTGGGATTCAACTGTAGAAAATAACCATAAATACCCCCATGCTTTTAGAGCCTTGAATCCCAGTGTTACAAGAGTGTGAATGTCGTTGGGGACCGGCTGTAGTATTATTCTAGTGACAAGTCTATTTTCTACTTTTTGAAAAAGAATTTTCCACTAAAATCCTGACTGCCAGATTTCCTATACCACTTGCTACTCCCAAAATATTTCGGAGGCTCCCACCAGCTTAATACAAGTTGCAAAAGGTAGTCTGAAGATCACAATTTGAAAACCCTTACGCGAGCAAAGAACTGGGTTCTCCACTTACTAAATTAATTTAACTAGCCACATTGTAAAATTATACTGCAAGCCATTCCAGATCCTTGAGATGAAACATGGTACTCTTCAAATAATGCTTTGCAGTGAAATATTTATTCCTTGAAAGGAAAAAAAAAAAAAAATCCACGGAAATATCTTAATATAACTTAATAACACATCCACTTAGTACAACTGATGATTGGGTAAATA